CGAGCGCCCCCTCTGGTAGGGAAATGTTTTTTCAGGGATACAAACTTTTTCAGAACACCGGTAGACAGCAAACCATTACAGACGAACATGTGTTTGTTGTTGTTCCAGCAGCGGCTCGGTCACACACTAATGTCATTAGTTTGTTATCATTACTGAGCTGCAGGACTGATTTTTACCCTTTTTTTCACATCATGTCTCCTGATGGATCTGTTATTATCTCACTCTGAAGCACAGAGGAGTGTCAGAGATGAGCTTGTTTCAACTGATTTTTACAACATGGTCTCATTTCCGGACTCAATTTTGCCGATATTTCAGTTAGAATACATAAGTAAAAATATTTATCCGAGTATAGTACTACCCCCCAACTTTATGGATGATTTTATGGATTTAATTTTACGCATTATTCACGAATAAATACGGTAAATTCTCTTAAAAATATAAGAAAACTTTTCAGTTCCTTTAAGACACCGATCTTAGAAATTACTCTGCTTTTAACTTATGCTACACTTAGCTTTTAGCAACTGTTTCGACTGCTTTAGCTATGACTATGCTAATTTTAGCTTTCTGATATGTTTAGCCGTTTTCAGCTTTTCAGGTCAGTCAGTTCAATCTTTAACAAATTTCAGCTAACTCATCCAACCCTTAGCATTCCCACTACATTTTGACAGAAATAGCACTTCCTGTAGTTCTTCAGTAAAACGTGTTGCTGTGTTGTCATCAAACACCTTGCTGCTGTTGGACCTAAAAACAGCAGTGAAGCAGTTGGGCTGAGGGACATCGTGACCGTTAGGTGTCCACATCCTTTAATCGCTGTGTTTGACTTCCTGAGGTGGTCCTCGCAGTGACAGCACTGCTAATGAACCGTGATGACCGTGTGCACGTCTGTGTTGAGGAGAAAAACAGGGAGGATGAATTATAGGGGAGAGGACATGTCTAATTCCTGGTTAGCTCCCTCGGTCTTCCATTCAGCTCTGGTGCTGGCGACTCAAACCTCTGCATTAACTGAAATGACCCTTAGAAAATCATGACTTTTGTTTTTTGTTAGTTTTTTTTAAGAAAGTGGTTCTGATGTTCAAAGATAGTTCAGTATCAGATGGTATCAGTCCAGTTTAGGTTTTGGATTAGCTGCACCTGTGCTTTCTGGGAAACAGACATTTTCTTTTAATACCAGGAAGTGAAATAAAACACCACAGGAAGTTGGACTTTGATTTATTTGTTTGTTTTAAGTTACTCGTCTGTACCTCTAGCATTTGATAACAAAAGATCTTGCATCTTTTACCTGCTCCTTTTCGAACAAATAATGTAAAAAGGACCTGCCTAGAATGGATTATTAGGTCAAGAAAAATTTGATGGTTTCTTTTAATCTTTTTTATTTTGTTTTGTTGCATAAAGATTATTATTA